GTGAACTCTGAACTAGACACACAACTTTTGAATTGCCAGAAACCCATTGATTTAGCTTCTAATCAGATCATTGTGGTTTTACTCATTCATGCTCAATTCATCAAGAAAAGTGGTTCATTAATCTAAAGAACTAGGCATAAAATTTATATATCGACTACTCTGTTTCATTGCCAAAGCCTACTGTATTATACTTCGGTTTTATGTGCGTTATAATATAAAGCATATGTGGATTCTCATATTCTAAAGCAGTTATGCATCTGTGTGGTTTGAGTTAATGCTTTTGAAAACATCATCTCCACACGATGCTATCTGAAAATAGAATCTGCCGCTGATAAAACTTTAACTCTTGAGATGTGGTAGAACAGCAGTCGTGGCGAAAAGAAACCCATTTTGGGAAAAGGGATTTTAACTGTGTGCTCAGAAAACATTAAAGAAAAAAACAAAGCCCAGACACCTTTGATGGAGGCAAAGTAAAGACCAACTCACTGCAGTACAAAACGATCTCACCTCCACCTAGGAGCAGAAATACTTTAAACACTAAACATGGGCAATCCTTGCTAGGTTGAAAGCCTAAAGTAAGTACATCAATAACTAATCCTTACATCTTACCCAAGAAGGGAAACCCCCCCAGTATTTGAGCCCAGGTACAGGTTAGCATTATCATCCCGTTGCATGCGAGTGCTATATACCAGGAAACTGGAAACATGCTGTCGGCAAATGGCAGGATTAATCTCTGTACTCTTCACGTATCATGAAGTCTGCAGTTGCAAGAGGATTATGAAACAAACATTTGTTCCTATTTAACTGAGTCTGTTTATCAGCAGTAAATATCAGCAGCAGAGATAAGCTTAATATCCAGTTTGTCTTTTTCAGGACACCATCAGAGACCTCCTGCAAGCAATGAAAAGAAGAGGAAGGTAAATGAAGGTCTGAATATCTGTGCAACATACCGTTCACATTACTTACATGCTGAAGGATAGTACTCATGATCAAATACCATAGTCAAATGATGGCTATGATTTTAACCAGTTGTATTTCCATGTGTTGTAGATGAGCTCTGTGTACTTTGAGGATGTGCTAATGCAAGAAGCGGCGTGTTTACAATGCTTGGTGGCTGCCACATAAGTAGAAGCAATGCACCATCTTCATTCACTTCACTGGTAACAGGTGCTACCATCTTTAGTCTTCATCAATTGCCAAAGAGAGCCTTCTTAGGAATACTGAGCTCTATTATGCTCACAGACTTCAAAGCAAATGTTTTTCCTGCTAAGGGAGAATTCTGTTTAACAATCAATGTCACAATATGGCCTATTGTTAGAACAAATTACCCAGTCCATTAATTACACAGCTATCTTTCCATCAGCTAGGAAAAAATACCCCCAATTACATACACATGCTAAAGCACATCTTCTTGCACTTTGGCCAGAAGGAATGGTGATGTAAAACCAGTGGTGTAATGCCCTGGCTCTCCTAAAGTCAAGCTAGGATGCTTTTGGCCATTCAACTAAGGGAGTCAGCACACTTCTTGAGTGACTGATCTTTAGTGCCTACTCCTAAGTAGTTGTCATATTCTGAAGCTGCTCACCCTGCCCTCCAGGGACAAGAAGACTGCTTGAATTGCTATCTGTGTTCAAGCAATTGAAGCCTGTCTCTGTTGCCCTCCTGCCTTGGGATACAGAACCAGCACCAAATCACCACCCTGATGAGCTCATTGGGTTGTAGCACCTCAACATTGTAGTCATGGATGTTCTTCAGCTGGGCCTCTGCTTTTAAACTCTGTATGTAGAACAGAAACTCCTGCAATTAAGGACCAGAACCTGGAGCTTCCTCTTCCTAGGAGACAAGCCTGGCTTCTGAGTCCACGTGGGTTCACACCCTGAGGTTCCAGTAATATTTAGAGGCATTACACTAATGAACTTCTTAGCAAACCATCCATTGCATGGTGACAGTAACTCCAGTCCCCAGTGTGACAGATTCAGTATCCCTCAAGGGAGTCCAAATGACACTCAGCAACACAAAAACCAGGCATATTCAGAACATTTCTGGATAGTCATAAAAGAAATAGCTAGAACCATACAGCCTTTGCTGTGTTTCCAACTGTTAGGCTTTGTTATTCCACCCAAAATAGCTGCTAGAGGGAACCCAAGATTTCATATGGAAAGAGCAGCAAAGAAAGTGGGTAACAACCATCAGAAGAATGGGGACCTCATGAAAAATGGGCATATGGTTGCCTCTGTGACAAGATTTGAGAATACCAGCAAAGCCTGGAAATGACCCTTCCGTCATATCTGGTTCTTTTGCCACATAGTATGACCCCCAAAACAAGTTCCTCTTTAGTGCAAATGGGATATCTTTACTCCTAAATGAATCTAGGGCAGTGTCCAGTGACACAGTCAAGCAAGCCCAACACTCCACCTTCCACAGGGCATTCAGAGCAAGAGATGAAGACATCAGTCTGCAGGAAGAGGCCCAGACAAGACACACTTTCTCTTGCCCCTTAAACAAGATAACTAGCTAAGAGCTAACTCTTCCTGACCAAGGCTGTAATGGGTTTATCCAGCTCAAAACAGGCAGCAGGAAATGGGGCTGCCTGCATATGCCCTGAGGGATATATCCAACTACGATCCACACCAGATCTGCATCCATGGAGCTTCCAAAGGGGCAATGGAGAAGCAATATCTTTGCCTGCTATCACCTGGCCTCACACTCAAAAGTGCATGATGAAAACAAGCTATAGCGTATGGTGGCTGGGGTGTTGTTTTCCTTTGCAACCTCTGGTTAAATCCTGCTCTTACAGTTTGTTGATCACAGTTATGATACAAATGATTTGTGGGTGTGTAATTCAGCCAGTCCATTGCAACAATCATCTGAGAGGGTTCATTGTGCACAGAACACTATTATGCTGTGAGTTCGGGGACCTATATCACAGCACACTGCATCATACCTGAGCAGCACAAATAAGCTCCATCAAACACCTGGTTTTGTATCGGTTAAAACATCCACTCTGGAAGATTTAAGCATATACATAAAACTAAGCATACATCTAAGAGCTTTACTGAATATGTGTCCCTTGCAGCCTTGTGATAATCATGTATGTATCTGCAGAAACAAAATGTTAATGAGTATTCGTCAGAATCCTTTTTGCTTCACATTAAAAATACTCTTTGTGCAAGTGTTCCCAGGAGAACAAGGAAGAGAGGATGGAGATTTCACAGCTCTCTGAAGGCTTTTATACAGCATTCATCCTATTTTGTCCAACTCAATAGCAGCTTCTCCTTCAACCACAAGTATACGTCACCACCACCACTACCCCCTAAAAAGGCAGATATGGATTCACACTAAAAATGACTGTAATGAATACAAACTTGGCTGAGGATCATTGTGCAAAAAAGAGAGACAGAATAGACTGAGTGAAGGTTGTAAAAGGAAAACAGTGGGTGACCAAGAATACAGGCACAGAATAAGAGCAGAGAGCCAAAGCCATTTAAATAAACCCAATGACTATCAGATAGAGATTGCTTTGAGGCATGGGATGGCTAAAAGACACTTGGCGAGGGAACCAAAACTGACTCTTGATGTTTTGCTTACTGCAGCATCCAGGAGCTGATGCATCTCTTTGGCGAAGATATAGAATCACATCAAGTCATTTCTGTTTTCTCTCTTACAAGCACATAATCCGAACACCCCAAATTTTGACTAAGCACCTGATTCCGAAGCTCCAGAGCTTTTCCCTCAGGGAGCAGAAAAGGCATTATGGCTGAAGTTAAAGACAAACAAAGCCTGCATCTGGATGTCAGGTTCATGCTCCCACTTTAACAGGTTTCTGTTAACACAAATCTAAGGACATATGGTGTCCGTGACTCCAGTGAGTCAAGTTTTACTAGATGGTCAGTGGTGTGACACCATCTCCTGGCACTCAGCCACATTCTGGGGCTTTTCAGCTCTTCTCAAGACATTTGGGTCCCATAAAGAGCAATGCTGGTTAGCACTGGCTGGAGGCTCCCTGGGGAATGCTCTCTGCCACCCTTCCCATGGTGAGCACCCTGCAGTTTCAGGCTCCCGCAGCCAACAGCCCTTGGGTTTCAGGCTTGAATCAAGGGCCACAACTTCCCAGTAATTCTTCTACTACAGTCGCCTGAGGAAATGCACCACCGGAGCAAACACTTCCCCCCAGATATTCCAAGGGTTTTGCAGCATCTCCTGATAAGCATTTAATAGGGAAGCTTGAAAGCCAAATTGTGTCCTCAGAAAGAGGGGCCGTTTTGCTGCGATAACACCACGCAGGCAGCATCTCTCCATACTGCCTTTCATGCAGTCCCAGTGGTGAAGCAGGACACAGATTCCCATTATTAGCAGCTCTCCGAAGTGCAAGAGACAAATTGTTGCCTGGTAATAATTACTAACAAGAAGAGCATTTTGTACTCTGAGATTTCTGTTTACAAGAGGATTCAGAATCATCTCCCAGTCAAAGCAGCAGAGACACAGGTATTGATGCAGCACCAAAAATCCAGGCGCAGCTCAGATCCTAAAGGCTGCCACCATCACATAGGGCAAGCAAAGCCCCCAGCCCACTTGGCACTGACAAGGAGCCCCTGCCACCAGAGGAGGGATTTCACAGAGCTCTTGTTTGCTGGCTCACATCACATACAACACCAGGGCTCGGACTTCCCATGCCTGTCTCCTAACTGCGGGAGCGCGGTGCCCTCCCGAGCCCTCCCCACCCCTCTCTGAATGCCCTAAACTGACTGACGGCTTTGGATTTGTGGAGTGAACTCAGTAGCTTTTGATCTCTATTCAAGGTGCCATCAAGGGATCTTAATAGGTAGTATCTTAAGGCCTGGAACCGTCATTAAAGAAACTCCTGATTCTCACACTTGTCTGAAAGAATAGAGGAGCAAGCTGGCTTCAAATGCCAGTTGACAGATGGGAAGACATATGGACTATAGGATTGCTGATCTAAAGAGTCAGAGCCATGGCCAGGCTGAGGAAACATACATCTTTATTTTGATGTTGACCTCAAAGGGAAGAGGTCTGAGCCAACAGAAAGGGGAAAGGGCAGCAAATATCACAAGTCTGAGGCCAGGATTGCTTTGAACTTGAGGACAAATATACTGAACGGTACTAAGATGACAAAAAGGCTTCCTGACACTCCGTGTCTACAAATGTAGCAGTCTGACCCATCGAGGTGCTTGATGCATTTTCAGTAACCAGCCGAGTGAGGATCAGTAGCGCTGATGCAATCTCTTGTGGCACCCAAGACGTTTGTCATTTCTTCCAGCACCAGCTATCCATGGAGCGAGCCCTGGCATGGAGCAGGATTGAAGCACATGGGAGCACTTTAAGCTGAAAGCCCCCTTGATCCTTCTGCCAGTCTTTGGAGGGACTGTGGAAGTTCAGGATCACCCCTGATCCCACCCAGATCAGTGGATCCCTGCAAATCATTTCTCCTCACGTCCTGTATTTGTTTCTGGCTCTATATGGAAAAACGAATGACCCCATCCCAACTCATTAACACTGCGCATAGCTTTTTCTATCAGACTCCCCATGGAACACTTAACTGTATTCCTTTCCAGCACCGACAAAAACCGCTCAGGATAAAGTTTAGACATTGGAAGCCTTCTGCTGAATTTAAATGCAAGGAATCCATGAAACAAATGAAGGGACAGATATCCTATTTTCTTCCCAGGAAAGCAAAGCAGAGCCTTTCAGTTCACTGTCTTTCTTCATGTCTTCTTTTTATCACAAGTGTCCACTGATGACATGACTTTAATGCAGTCTGTTCCAAGAGATTAAATTGAATGTCTGTGTGGAGTTTCAGGGCTCAGCAGCAGAGCATGGCAGCTTCGTTTCCCATCTCCGGGACACTGGGCAGGCAGAGAAATAATTGCAGACTCAGAAACGATCAAGGAATGTATCCCGGCTGCAACAGATGCTGTATTAAAAGGAAAGACAAAAGCCAAAGTGCATAATGAATTTTAAAAGATTTCTTTATCAAACATGTCATTTGTTTGAAGGACTGAATTGCTGGCATCAGATGTGGCAGATCAGCTTGTTACCAAAGTGAAACATGAGGACTGCTATGCAACGGCAATTGATGAGTCAATTGAAATCACTGATGTTGCTCAAACGCTCATCTTCATTTAATATGTCAGTGGTCAGAAGTTAACCAAAGACCTTCTGGTTTTGTCAGCACCAAGCAAAACCAAAGGCTACAAAATATGGTGCGTGCTAGCCCTGAACCTCAGAGGCCCTAATACACTTAATGGGAGCTGATGCTGCAACTACAGTTGTCTGTGGAAAGCAATATCTGACATAACCCTAACAAGTGAACTCCGGCTCACAAGCACAAGTGCCTTGTCCATCAAACTCTTCTCTGAGCTGCATTAAAAGCAAGATATTAAAATGGCATTAAATTACCCAGAAACACAGTCATCTGTCTAAGCTGACACCTATTCCTTCTGCTGCTGATTTCAGCTTTCTCTTTATGGGGATGTTGTTGAAGGGAACACTTTGCTAAGGACTAAAGGTGTAAAAATACAAACAATGCTTGGTTTTAAAACTTCCCCCCTCCAAAACCAACCCAACCCAATGCAACCCAAATACCCATTTCTGAGTCACCTGGACAGAATTTCTTGGGCTTGATACAACAAGCTTAAATAATCTTGTTGAAATGTCTTTATGATGATGAATTTCTATACTTTGAAAACCCAGAGTGAGAAAGCAAAAAAAAGGTGACTTCGTACAAGCCAATTTTCAACTGAGGTACCCATCTGGATTTTTCACTAGAAAAAACAACAGACTGGCTTGAGAGAAAGCAAAATCTCCTTCAAGGCCTCTGGGACATGTTTTGAGGATTTTACTGCAGAAAGGCAAGTCTCCTCTGAGCTAAATAACACCCTGGCTTAACTTGCTGGGAACACGCAGGCGGATTTCTCCAGTTGGGAAGAGCTTTCCGTGTGGTTTGCTCTATGGGCTGCACTGCTACTCCTTTGTTCCACCCTGGTCTTTCCATCTCCCCTGCCAAAGGAAGCAGGCAGGAGTGAGAGGTGGGCAGCCTGGGGGTCTCCCAACAGTGGGAGAAGTCTTTTAGAGCCTAACAAGATGGAGAGAAGGCCCCATGCCTCTGCCCACGCCCGGCGTGCAGCCTCAATCCAGCTGCAAAGGCTCTGGGATGTGTTAAAAATGAGGCTTTTCTAATACACTGAAGATGACAGACCTCAAGTTGTCATATATTAAAATGGTGCGTACATTCCTTCCTCCAAGTAACCAATAATGGGACAAAAATCCTTGCCAACTCAGTCCGTCCCTCCTGCCAAGTATTGTTTGAGCTCGGCTCATCCCGAGTGCCCCCATTGGGATCCAGATATAGATTAACACAGTTTTGAAATGCACAAGGGCTGCAATCATGCAAGGCTTGATCCAACCCAGACTGGAGTCCATGGAAAGGTCTGCATTGACGTAAGTGGATACAGAGCAGCACCATCGTGCCTGCTGCTGAGAAACCAGCCCAAATCCCTCCAGGAATGGAGGAGAGTAGGAGGGCAACAACAGCTCCCTGAGGATCCCTCTGGTCCTGAGCCCAGTGGGCACAAAGCTGCCTGCAGGAAGCCAGCCCTCTCCTTCCCCCTCGCAGCTCAGGTCTCTGTTGCCAATGGGCTCCATCACCAGCCACATCACAAAGTTCGGGCACGGGACCAGTGCCGCCAATGCCACGCACAGATTCATCACAGGAACCAAAACTTGGGTAGCACGAAGGGTCCCTCACCCTGAGCACCACACACTGCTTCCCACAGGGCAAATCCTGTGCACATCTCTGAAGACTCACACACTGTTGCAGGGGCTCTGTCTGAACAGCCTGCCAATGCGAAAGGCTCAGCTGGATGTATTCATACACAGGGACAAGGAGCAGCTCCTCGCTGCTGCACCAGCCCAGCCGCCTTTCACTCCCCTATTCCTCCTTCGCCAGCCCACATCTCTTTTGTTCCTCCTTTCCTCATTCCCACGTTTTTTGTGCTGCCCCCCACCCCCAGGCACCGCCTGCTTTACCCAATGGCCTGCCCTTCCACTCTCTTCTCCAAGTTCACTTCTCAGCCATCCTTTCTTTGGGATTTGCTGCAGTTGCAGGAGCAAGAATCAAAATGGGGCAATACCAGCCTTGGGGGCCCTTTTACAGTCTCTGATACAGTGCTAGCAGGAGACAGCACCAAGACAAGGGGGTCAGCATTCACGCATGCACTAGCCCCCAGCTTGGGGCCTTCTACTCTATCACAGCAATGAAAAAAAACCCTTCTCATTCAAGTCCTTTGTCTTAAAGATTTCCATCCTGGCCACAGCAAGTGCAGATTTATTGGTGGGAGCAACTGCAGGAGGAATAGTAAGCAGGAGGCGCGTGCGTGCCGATGTGCCAGCCTGGGATGCCGAGCGCGGCACAGCCTCACGGCAGTCAGGATTCAATATGTGACTACATCTAAAATGGGTTTCCTGGTGTATTCAAATAAAGAAATAAATCATTTGGCATCTCTCTCCCATGACATACGCGGCACAGTCGGAGCCTTGTGGGGATGCACTGATGGGGGAGAACCGAAGCCAAGAGAGGCGGCTGACTCCGCTGGATCCCCAGGAATCAGACACCTGCCTTATTATGAACAGTGATGCACAGCATGGCCTCTGCTTTCCCATAGCCCTCCACTCACGCAAGTGAAACTGCACAACCTGTACCAGCCGCTGCCTGCTACCATCCTGGTTTGAAGGCACAGCCCTACACCGGCCAAAGAGCAGACCCCAGCTTTCCCACCCCAGAACTCCTTACCGCAGCCTCCCAACCATTCCACGGAGGCACACAGAAAGCTCCGACACTTGTTGACACTTCAAACTAACACGTTAGCCATGATAAAATCAGCAGCCACATCTTGCATTGACTTCTGTAGGGATTTTGCTTGAGAAAGGGTGGCAGGACACGACTCCAAGCTTGCTGAGTGACATCTTCTGTTTTCCAAACCATCCTTAGATTCCTCATACCGTCTAACAGAGCAAGCTGCTGACAGAAGCAGGGTGGTTGGCCTGTTTGTTGGGCAAGAATACTTTGTGAGTCAGTAGAATACCAAATTTGGTAGAATGTCTTCCACGTTGGTAGAAGACATTACAAACAACTGTGCATTTTAACACGTTTTCGCATTGCGCATCATTCATGCTGGGGAAGGGGGTGGTGATCCTTCCCTGCAGACAGCTAAGCAAGGCTTCCAAGAATGAAAACGTTCATCGAAAGATAATGGAAACCAGACATTTAGCAACATTTTCATTTTGCATGTTTAAATATTTATAACTATGTTCATAAAACCACATGTTTGCTCTCCTAATGCTCCAGTGATTGTGGTTATGAAACGCAGTATTTCTCCGATGCCCCTTCCTTGCGTCAGCTTCGCCGCCGGGCGCGATCTACTCGCCACTAGCTTTCATGTAAAAGACTGTCCGAGATTAAGAACAGAAAATTACTGACAAGAAGAAAAACGTATTTTTCAGGGTATTAATGCTGCCCCGATGCAGATGTGATTTGAAACTTTGTAGGGGGCATTTATGCTGGCTTAATTCCTTCGCTGTGATTTATTGTCAATCTGGAAGGAAGCTATTTCTTATCCTACGGCAAAACAATGAAAGCTAGAAATACAAGTGTGATAAAACTAAGATGCTTATTATTGTTCTCTCTAGAATACTTCTCTTTTTTTTCCCCCTTCCCCTAGCTTGGATTAAAATTCAATGACAACAAAGAATTTTGCTTTAACACTGCAGCTGCTCGAGTTTGGGTTATAAATTTCCTAAAAGCCGAGTAAGTGGCCACAGCCTGAAATTGGGACTATTAGATTTTGCAGGCCCAGAAATGAGCCCGCTGTATTCTTCTCTCTCTTCTGATTACAGACATGTCGATAAAGCTTACATGGGCCGTTCTGGTGTATTAAGCTTAGTGAGAAGCCACGGCTGCAAGGCGAGGCTTGCAGAGCTTAGACCTACAGCACGAGGAACCAGTAAGTTCTTTATCAAATTATAATTCTTAATATGTCCTGTGTCAGCCTGTAATTTCAAGAAGGAATTAATGGGTATTACTTAATGCAGGCTTTTATATTTTTAATTGTATTTTCCTATTAAAAAATTAAAGATATCTCTAACCTGAGATTTTTGAACGGATCGGGTAACTCCTCGGAAATCAAGTCCTCAGCAACATAAAGCAAGCCCCAACAGAGCATTTGTATTTCAATCTCAGCCCAACATCCTCCTGAAGGTATAGGTAGTCTCTTCAAAGCACAGTTTCAACTTCTTTGGTCCTTTGCTTGCCTTCTCCCTCCACATCAGCAAAGAACGAAAAGGAAAGAGAAAGAAAAGGAGCAGATTGCAACGTCACATCGGTATCGCAGCTTCAAAACGAGGTGGTGCAAAGCCCTCAAAGGAAATCACTCCCCTTTCACTGCATTATTTTAAAGTGCTTTTGCAGGCCATGGTTAAAAATTAAATGGGTACTTTTCTGCTGCAGCACTGCAAATTCTCACAATATTATCAACAGCATCACTCTTTAAAATGTAAATCAATCCACAGAATTCGGTTATACATGAAAACTTAAGCTCAAGCTCCACTTTAAACCACAGGTATATGGCCTGGCACCAAGATAAAAAGGCAAAATAGAAACTGGCCTCTGAAGGTCACAGCACTGACAAAAAAAATAAGAGAAAAAGGGGGATAAAATATTGATCCATTTCCTTTTTCTTTCTGAATCTTGCCAAACAGAGCAAGTTTTGGGGGTGCCTGGAACACGATCTTAAATATTTAAAGACTGACAGTTTCAGCAAGCTCCTGCAGCATCTCCTTTCTAGTAAAAATAGATATGATGGGAAAATTGATAAATATTATGGGGGGAAAAAAAGAATCAGTATTTTGGGAAACGTTTGCCCTCCTCAGCCCTCACAGCAGTGAGCAGCCATAGTCCAGCCCTTGCAAACTTCCATCAGGGGAACTGTAGTCACGTCGACTGCTGCACAGAGGTTTTTCTCCTAATTAAAGATAGGATTTGAGTCCAAATTCAGACTTTTTCCTATATTGAGTTCTTCTCACCAATCTCAACACTTTTATCTGATGGTATCAATAGTAACTGAGAAACTCAAGTCAGTGGGTTAATGGGGTGTTAAATGCAAACAGAATATAAACTGCCTTGTTGACAGTAAGAACACAGTGAAGTGGTGGAAATCTTAAATTCAACTGTCTTTTACTAACACAGGTAAGAAAATAAGCACAAAGCAAACGAGTACTAGAAAAAGGCAAACAAAAAGAACAACATCATCGTCTCGCCCACACCAGTAACAGAATTAAGCTGTGTAACCCATGGAAAGTGGTAAAAAATACTTAAAATTAGAAATAAATAAAGCAACACAAGATTTTTCATTGTAATAATGTCTTAGTGAAACTGGGGGGCAGGGGGGGGAATTTAAAGAGATAAATAAGTAGGCAATTTTATTTAAAGCAAAGGTATGTGCCAATGCACCACCTCTTGAGCCTTTCTGGCTCTAGCTCTATTTTCCCAAGTGGATATTCGCAGTGGCACACAAATGCAGCAAGCCCATGGCTAAAAGCCTGACTGTTTCCTCCCTGCTGTGACCCTGCCAGCTAAAGGCCGTGTCCTGGCCTGTGAATAAAGCACAGCACTCATTCCTGCTCCAAACCCCACTCTGCTCCCTCGGAAGCAGGAGAGCAATAACAGCCCTGCACCTGCTCCAGTGAGGAGCAAAACACATTTTTCCTCTCATACCAAACCAACGCTGCTGACATTCCACCTTTTTCCTGCCCACAGACTAGCTCCTGTCTGAGCACACTGATGCTGGAAGCCAAGAAGAGCACAGCCTCCGCAATAGCTTTGGGATCTCTACCCGACCCCTTGCTCCACCGCACCAAGTGCCCAAAATCCCTGCCTAAGATCCATGTTGTATGCATGGGGCTCTCACAGGCCCAAACTGGGATTATACGATGCTCTGAAAAAGGACAAACCATGGGAACAGCCCTGTTCTGCACTTTTCCTTTATGCTCCTCAGCCATTAAGCCTGTCCAGCTTCCCCAGTCTTATTCCAGCTGATGGCTTTCCCCCTTTCCAAGTTTCCCACTGTCCCAGGCCAGGCTGCCTTGCCTTGCATACACAAGAACGAATCATCCCCAACATGCAGTCTGGGTCTCCCTCGAAAGGAAGTTCACATCTCACCCATTCAAAGGCAATTTCTAAGCTGCCACTATTGAAGAAGTTGCCAAAACAAATTCATTCAGCTAAATTCTTTTTTTTCCTCCTTTTTCTGTCAAAGTCTCTTTTCACACAAACATTTGAAATGGAGAAACACAGCTGAAGTATTAGCTAAAAGAAAGCCTGCACATAACCTGCTTCACTGTGGATAACAAGCAGCATCTCCTATTAAAGTATATCTGTGCCTCCTTAGACAATGGCCTCCCTGGTTTCTGCAGGGGGTTTATCCCTCCAGCACAGAACAGATACCTACAAAGCCATCCTAACCCATCTCCCATCACAGCAGCAGGCCAGGTCCTTGCTTTGCCATCCTCACTCAGCAGCGTGAGCCCTTACACAAGCAATTTTACTGCCTGCAGTTATGTTCAGGTGAGCAGGCACTTGCAAGACATACATCATCTTTTAAACCCATTCAAACAGCATAGTGAGATTAACAAAATGTCTTAGCTCGGGGATGTACAGATTAGTCAGCACGACACAGTTTCCTTCAGCACAATCCATTATAACATTAGCTCTTCAACGCTTTCTCTGGAGTTTTACCTCTCCAAAATAGGGCTGCATCCCTGCAGTGAGATTTTCCATACGGTTTGCTTCTACTACCAGCATCAATAACAGGGATGGTTTCTCTAACAGCCATGAAAGTTAGGCTCAGCTAAAAGTGTCAGTGCTTGGTGCTTTTAATTTGGCACCATTGTATTACTGAACCAGAGCTGCAAACACACCATGCTACACCCTACCCACTGATTTGGAGTGTTACAGCCGGCAGAGTTCCTATAGAACTTAATTCCTGGTGCCGTAGCACCGAGACACTTGAATACAACCTTCAGGACGCTGCCTTCACACTGTGTGCAAGCACTGGCTGCTAATAGCATGTACAGAGCTTAAAACCCACTCATATTATTCACAGAGGGATACAGCAGACACCCAGACCAATACACAAAGGACAGTGACTCCAAATGCATCAAAATACTCATGCCTCACTGTGGTAGAGGAGGAATGGCTCCAGCTCATCGCCTGCCTCTGCTTAGATTCTTTATAGCACAATGAATCAACATTACCCCTTTTAGCAAACCATCCCGAGCTCTGTTTATCTGGGGACAAATCCATCTAATTCTGCTCACACAAGCGAGAGCAGCAGCTCCAAGGGAGAGGCCAGCAGAACACGGTCCCTTGTTGGGAACAGTCCTGGGACTCTTGTAGGCTGGGACACGAGACCCGTTACTGACGACACACGAAATGCTGAGCTAACATGGCACCTGCTCTGCCTGCTCTGTCCTGCCCTGGTCGGCACTGTCACGCTTCCACCCGAGCTGCGAGCACAGGGGATGGCCTCAGGTCCCTGCTGCCAGGCCTTGGCATTGAACATCATGAGCTGCCTCACCCCGACTCACAAAACCAGCCCAAGAATGCGGCGAAAAGGGATTTTTCCCACTCTAGGATCATCCCGCAATGGGCAACAGATGCTTCTTTCTACAGATAAACCCTTCCTACTTGCCCATGAGAGCTGCAGGGTGCCACAGCCCCTCCCTGGCCACCCTTGAGGCCTGGGGGCAGCAGCAGCAGTGGGGAAGAGGCACTGCAGGGACAGTAGCACCCACAGGACAGTGTGCCACGCTCAGGGGGGCACGGGCCCTCTGCCTCACCTCGCAGCGCTGGTGCTGAGCCCCTGCTTTGACAGCATTTCACAGCCCTGTCTGCACCCATTCTTCCGTCCCAAGGCACACACACTGCCCCATCTATGCCCCACTCGCTTCTTTTCTTGGAGGGGGGGATTGGAAAGTGGAGCCCCTGAGCTCAGTGGGGTGCACACAGCAGTTTGCCCCCCCCTTTCCCACACTGCTTGGGGAGGCCCCCGGCCGGGGTACCGCCTGGCTACCAGGGGAAGCCAAATGCTCAGGATGCTGGTTTAAACTCCTAGCTGTAAAAATGGCCGGGGCTGCATTGCCAGCCCAAGGAAGCAGGCGGGAGGGCAGGAATACCGGCATGGCCGGAGGGTCCCTGGTACCAGACACAGCGGGGCCGGGACGTGCATCCACAGCCTTGCCCTTCCGAGGTCTGGGGATGCTGCATCCTCTGGATGCACCCAAGACCGGGGTCCCCCGGCCAGGCAGCTCCGGCCACAGCAGAGCCTCCCGCTCTGGAATGGAGTTTCAGGGACTGGCAGCAGCAGGTTCCTACCCCCCATCGCACCTCCGTCGTTCCGAGCAAAGCAGTAACAAAACCGAACCTACCGGCTCATTTCCAAGCCTGGCGAGGTCCGGAGCGATGCAGACACGACCCCGGTTGGGTGTCCGAGGAAAACCCGACGGCCCCGGGCGGCTCCGCTCCTCCTGTCTCCGCCGCGGTGCGGAGCGGCCCCATTCGCCCCATCGGGAAGGGCCCTGCCGGGCAGCGCTCCACGTCCAGCCCCGGGGCTCGGCTCTGTGCACAGCAAGAGAGACTTCCCAGCAGGAAAGCAGCGGAGATCCGTGTCTGCAGGGGCACCTCGGGGGGCACTGGTTTAAGAGGCCAGGCTGGCTAGTGAGGAACGAAAAACACGCTCTGGGATTGAGGTGTATGATGTAGAATCACAGAACCGTTTTGGTTGGAAGGGGCCTTAAAGCTCACCCAGTTCTAAACCCATGCCACGGGCAGGGACACCTTCCACTAGAGCAGGTTGCTCAAATATAAATGAATGTATTTTTTTCTAGAGGCTGCGACCCATTTTCCCAGGTTTTTCTGTCCGAAAACTTGTTGTTGTTAGCTTATTTCGGAGGTAGGAAAGGGTACAATTGTTCAAACCCAATTATTGAAGCATGCAAAGGTTTCAGGGGCTGCTCACCCGAGCGGCCCTGGCTGGAGGGGAAGGGCCGCCCCGTCCTCCCGCAGTGCCTCAAAAGTCAAGTTCAAGACGGGGCCGTCTGGGGTCTCTCCCGGTCAGCGGAGCTGCGGAGCCCGAGGTGCGGGTCCTGCCTCTTCCCTGGGGCTGCGCTCAGGCCGCGGCCGCGGTCCGCGGTGCAGGAGCCCGTCTGCATCCCCGCCGGGGCCGGAGGTCTGAGGAGGAAGGGGGGGGGTCACCGGCGCTCTGGCTACTTGGGGCATCCGGAGGTGTTTCTCGGGCGCGATGCCTCTTTCGCACTCCCGAGGTTTGTCCGCATCCTGGAAATAAAGAACAAAAAAAAAGAGCCCCAAACAAACCCAAACCAAAACCTGACGATAACGGAGGGAGCCCAAGCGCGCCGCGAAGCATTCCCGAGGTCCCCCCCCAAAGAGCACTCCGAGGCCGGTCCCGCACCCCCGGTACTCACCGTCGGGGTCTCCCCATTGAGGCTCCCCCGTTGCCCCTCTCTCCCCGGCTCGGTCCGCTCGGGAAGGTGGCGGGAGCGAAGCGCTTGGGCAGGGACAAAGGGACAGGAGGAGGAGAAGAAGAAGAAGAAGAAGAAGCGGCGGCGAGGAGGCGGCTTCCCCCGGCGTGGCCAGCGCTGAAACAACGGCCCGGCCCCGGCGGCAGCGCCCAACCGGCCCCGCGACGGCCCCGCGGCCCCCGGAGGAGGTCAGAAACGGCTCTTTCCAAAACAATAAACTTTTAATGCTAAAGCAGTTATAACCAAAAGCTGTACAGAGTTGGAATTAATTTTTTTCTTTTTTTTTTTTTTTTTTTGCTGTTTGTAAATTTTTTTTTGTTAGAAAACAATTATTTTTTTTTTCTTCCCCCATAAATATTGTTCAGTTCCCGGCACTTTTGTATCAATAATTAAATTACGAACGATAAATATGGCATCATGGGTATGTATTTACATAAAAAAAGTTCTTACAAAAAGGCAACTGTTTAATACTAAACGTCACAATCTGGGTAGAATAAACACCACATCCTCATCCTGAAAAATACTGACCGACCCCATCAGACGAGAATACATTCACAAGTGTAATGCTTGGAGAGAGAGAGAAGGAGAGAAAGAGGAGGAGAGCAGAGAAAGAAGCAGCAGGAGAGCTAGAGAGGAAAGTTCAAGACATAACAGGACTTTGGCACGGTTTAAGACTGTAAGTTTCAACAATCACCACTAAGGCGAAGGAGAATTTTCATTCTCATGTCAACATCCCACCGAAAGAAGGAAAAACCAAAACAAATGGAGAAGGAAAAAAAAAATAAAATAAATCAAAGTGGGGAATCGGAGGAAGAGGGATTTGGGAAAGGGGGGGAGGGGGGAATAACAGACGACTGCAAAAAATGACAACAAAAAAGAGGGGCAAAAAGAGAAATCTAATCCTGAGAAAAGGACATGGCTAGTCCAGCGTCTGGGCTTGCAAAAAATAGGAATAATTATAACATAATAATAACACCCCCCCCCCCCCTATCCGGCTCCTGGCATTAACTAGGTGTAGCCCTATGCGGTCATCGGTGTGGGAACTCCATTTCCGTGGGAGCGAGCTGCAGCTGGCTTGGTTTTGTCCCGGATTGCTGTTTTCCCCTCGTTCCCAACGCGTTTGGTCCAGTCTGTGGCCGGGCAGCAGCTGCCTTCACACGTACCACTCGTTAAAATTGGGGGGCAGTCCAGGGTTGTGGCCGGGGTTACTCTGCAGGGCGGCCGGCGGCGTTTTAGTGGAGTCCTTACTGCCGGCAGAGCCCACCGCGGGGGGGGTGGAGGACTCGTAGCCCGAACTGGCTGCAGGGGAAGAGTCCGACCCCTGGGATTCGTGCACCTAAAACCGAAAGGCAGAGATGGGAGCGAGCTCGCGGTCCCCAGCGTCCCGCTGAGCTGGGTTAGGATGCTTCCCCATGCAAGAGGGACATTGGGGTCCAGCGGCTTGGTTCCCATAGGCAGGTAGTTCATGCCTTGCTGGTCACCCTGAGCTTGCCCCAGCCCCTGGCACTGGGGGGCTGCAACATCCCTGCGCTGGGGAGCTGCACTTACAGAGCCTTCCAGCGCCCAGCCACACTCTGTAAACTGGGCACGGTGGGAGCACAAAAAGAAACTACGCCATTTCCCTGAGCTGTGCTCCAGCGTCGGCCTAAACACCGGGAATGGCTCAGGCCGTGCTCCATCGGGAGCATGGAGCGCTGCGGCAGGCACCGGCCCTGAGCACGCCAGCGACTGAGCATCTCTGCTCAGGGAGGAAAGGGCTGGAGCGCAGGGGTGATTACCTTCATGTGTTTCCTAAGTGAGCTGGGGTGGGTGTAGGATTTGTCGCACACCTTGCAGATGTAGGGCTTGTCCGAGGTGTGGACGTGCATGTGTTTCTTCCTGTCGCTGCTGTTGGCGAAGCGCCGGTCGCAGCCCTCAAACTCGCACTTGAAGGGCTTCTCACCTGCGAAATTCAGAGAGGGTGAAGGAGGGATGTTCCCCTCTCCATGCCCGCTCGCATCCTCCCGGGAGAGCCTCTGCCCTGCTCGCCCCACCTTGGGGATGCACAAGCACCACGGCAGATGAAGAAGAGGAGAACGGACAGCAGGGTTTATTATGTGTATCGGAGAAATTCGGGTCAGCCTTTATTACTTTTAATTCACCTCCCAACAGGCCCGCACTGGGGACAGAAGCTGGGTGAGCCCAGGGAGGGAGAAGACCCGGGATAAATTCAGCAGCTCCGATAGCGTTACAAGATGTATTTGAGGAAACAGCCTAAATACGTTTGCTTCCTGCCTTCCCCTTCTCTTCCCTCCACCCGTACAGAAGGCTGAAGGGAAGACGGAGCTGGATATAAATCCACTGTGACAAAAGTCTCGCTGATTTAATTCGGGGAGACGGCAATGGGGCCTAAACCGTAAAATAACCAGGGTGGGAAGGCACCGAAAATGCGATCGCATTGAGCGTTTCTACGGTTCCCCTCTCAGCGCCGCGCACCCCCCGCTCCGGCAGCAGCCGATCCATCCGCGCAGCCCCCTCCGAGCCCCAAGGGGACTGGGGTGGGGGACACACACGGGGGTCACGGGCCTTACCTGTGTGCGTCCGCTTGTGAATCTTGAGGTTCTCGGAGCGGGCAAAGATCTTGCCGCATCCCGGGAAGGGACAGGGGAAGGGCTTCTCCCCCGTGTGCACCCGAATGTGGTTCACCAGTTTGTATTTCGCCTTGAAGGACTTGCCTTCCCGCGGACACTCGTCCCAGTAGCAGATGTGGTTGTTCTGCTCCGGCCCCCCGACGTGCTCCATGGTGACATGGGTCACCAGTTCGTGCATGGTGCTGAAAGTCCTGTCGCAGCTCTTCTTGGGCCGGCTGAGCTGGCTCTCGTCGAGCCACTTGCAGGACAATTCTTGCTTGATGGGCTGGCGCATGTACCGAAAGAAAGCTCCGGGGCCGTGGTGGTGGTGGTGATGGTGGTGGGCCGCCACGTTCATGCCCATATTCATGTTCATGTGGTTGTAGTTGTGGAACTGGGCGCCGGCGTAAGGGTCCGTTCGGGGGCTGGAGACGGCCCGGTACGGGTCCGGTCGCCCGAAGAGGTCCCCGCGCAGCCCGAGGTGCATCTGCCCGTTGTCCACATGCCCGTTGGGGGACGTGTGGCTCGGGCTCTGCTCGTGGAGCCCCGGGAACAGCAGGTAGCCCGGGGTGTCCGGGATGCTGCCGGGGCCGTGCAGACCTCCGGGGGAGCCGCCGAAAAGCCCGTGTTGAGCCGTGCCGGAGGCGGCGTCCGCGATACCGGAGCCGCGGTTGCGGAACAGAAAGTCGCGGGTGGAGTTGAAGGCGGCGGCCCCGCCGTAGGAGGGCACCTGGCCGGCGTGGTGGTGGTGATGGTGGTGATGGCCCAAGGCGCTGGCGTAGCCCGGCGCTTGCGGCGTGAACGCCGAGCTCTGCCCGGCGGCGAGGTCGTGCGGGGCCGCGTTCAGCTTGAAGGCAGCAGCGTGCGAGGAGTCCCCGAAGGGGCCCAGCCCCATGCCGGCGGCGGCAGCTTCCCGGCCCGGCATCTCGTGGTGGCGGGGCGCCGCAAAGCCGCCCACCCCCAGCGCCGGGAACTGCGGCCCTCCGTCCAGCAGCATCGTCATGGGAGCGGGGCCGTCGGCGCGGCGGCAGCCTGACCCCCCCCTTCCTCCCCTTACCCCTCCTCCTCCTGCCCGCCCCCAAAAAAGTACAAAACCACCCCAAAACGCACCCCCACGCCCCCCGCTGCGGGCAGGCGCGGAGCGGGGCAGCGGAGCGAGCACCCCCCGTCCGACACAAAACCCAACCGCCACCAAAACCAGCTCCCCCCGCCCCCCAAAAGCCGCCCGCCCCCCGCTCTGGGCCGGGCCGGGCCGGGCGGCGCAGCAGGGCGAGGGGCAGCGCGGCCGCGCTCGCTGCCGCTCGGCGCCGTCGGGGCACTGACGGGGCGCCCGCCCGCGCCTCGCACATAAACCAACGCCGGGGCCAGGCCGCGCCGCGCCAATGGGGAGCCGCCGGCAGCAGCGTCACCTGACCCACCGCCCGCCGTCCTATTGGCGGAGAGGAGCTTGATTGGCATGAGCCCCGCGCCGACGGGGACTCTGATTGGGTGCGGGAGCCTCGCAGGTAAAACGGGAGGGGGGGGGAACACAGAGGGGGGTGGCGGGGAACCCCGACGGGGCGGGAGGGGGGGCGGCGGTGCGGGCACCCCAATGCACACACCCCAGTGCACACACCCCAGTGCACACACCCCAGTTCACACACCCCAATGCACACACCCCAATGCACACACCCCAGTGCACACACCCCAGTGCACACACCATGTCCCTGTGCCCCACTGCGGGGCCTTACGCGGGGAACCCCCCCTTGCCATCATCAAGGCCCCCCCCTTCGGGTGTCCCGCCGAGCCGCGGCCCCCCCCTCGCTGTCCCCCGCCAGGCGGGACGCCCGCCCTGGGCGGTGCGGGGGGGAGGCGTATGGGCGCTGCGGTGCTTCAAAACCGAAACCCCGTTAAAAGCCGAAGCGGCGGCTCCGGGGCTGGTTTTCCGTTCCCATTCCGTTAATCTCTAATTATTTCAATTTTCCCTTTTTCTATTTCTTTTTCTTTCTTTTTTTTTTTTCCTTTATTGACCCAACCGCTCCCGCCCCTCGGCCCCGCAGGGAGGGCGGCGGGGAGTCCGCAGTGTGAGCCCCCCCTTCCGCGCCATCCCGCGGAGCAGCGTCCGGTCCTGCGCTTCCCGCTCCCTGTTTGTCCTACACCCGTTTATCTTATTTCCCTCTTTCTCTCCTTTATATCCCCCCCCCTTTTTTTTTATTCCTTCCCCTTTTCTTTTTAATTTCATTTTGCAAAGGCAACGTTCTGCCTTGGAATAATTATCACTTGCAGACAGCGCTATAAATCCACTCATTTTCTGTTCTGGAAAGCATTTGCAAAGAACTATGGGGAGCAAGAGTGGAAATAAAAGGCAGAAAGAAAGATGGCTGTGATTGTAATATCCTGAGATGTGCTGAGCCCCCGAGTCCGGCCATTGGGCAGGGCCCGGGCTCGCCGCCGGCGCTCGGCGGGGAACGTAAAATCTGATCAAGTTCAGAGGCGCATTGAGAGCCCGCGTCAAGCAGCGCTTTATAACCGCGGCTCTTTCACATCCTTCCCCCCCATCAACCCCGGGAAAGGCTTCGCATTCTTTATTTTAGGGTTTGCAGGGAGGGAAAGTTAAAAAAAAAAAAAAAAAAGAAAAGGAAAAAAAGAAAAAAGGGGGGGGGGCAAAAAAGGAAAAAAAGGGAACAAAAAAAAAAAAAAAAGGAAAAAGAAAGCGCCACCGATATAAAACCTCCCCGAGAGGTAACACTCCAGCAAACAGTCAAATTACCCAGGCCACAGCCGCCACGAACAGTCCCAAAGTTGAAGGTGAGTCCCTCGCTGCCGTTTGTGCACGATCGCACTACAAGAGACAGGGAAGAAAGGGGGGGAACCTGCGCTGCGCGCCCGCGGCTCTTGCGCGGAGGACGAAGAGGGTGACCCGAAGAATCGCAGCGCGGTCGGGAGCTCGGGGGAAGCGGGGTAGTGCTGGGGACCCCACCGGACACCCACCTGCGGTTCCTCCGCGGTGGGGCAGGGAGAGAGACCTGCCCGTCTGCGGAAGGGCAGGGCTGGTAATTAATGACCTCCCGCACTTGTTGGGTTTTCTTGGTAACAACAACAACACCCACCCCCCCCACCCAGCCCCTAAAATAAAAGGGAAATAAGGGGAGAAAAAGGGCATAATTCAATTAGCCCATCAGCTGAGCGCCGGGGAGGGCAGCGCCTCTGAAGTCGCCGACCCGGGGCGACCGAGGGCGACTGACCCCTGCTTGTGCGGGAGGCCTCACGTGTGGCATTGTCCGGCCCCAACGGGATGCGCCGGGGTCGGGCCGGGGGAGCGGGGGCCGCTCAGGTGCCCTCGGTACACGGGGCTGCGGTGGATGGGGGGGCACCCTGCGCATTGGGGAGAAGGAGCCAACGCGGTTCCGAAGCGGGAGAAGCTAAATATAATAATAATTATTATTATTAATTTGGGGAAAATTTTAACTGGAAAAATATCCTGGAAAAAAAAATCCCCTCGGGGCTGCGGGAAAAGCGTCCCGGAGGGGGGGGGGGATGAAGGGAGAATCAAGAAGCGATCGTAGCTCTGGGCTGGTTTGGGGGGGATCCTGCCACGCCGCACTGCACTTGCGGCCCTTTGCTACAGCAATTAACCCATAAATCTTGGTTGATGCGTTTCCCGTTTCTCCTCCGCCAACTTCGCCGGGGTGTGCGAGCCCGGCGGTGCTCGCACGGGAGGGATCAACACCGCCATCGCTTCCTGGATGGAATTTAACGGCTCGGGGACCCAAAAATTACGTAAAACGCGAGGGTTTTGTATATGTTATTATTATGCTTTTTGAAAGGGCATTGCCGGCATGGCCTATGATATTTTTCCCATATCGCTTTCGTAACTAAAAAGAACATGTAATATATTTCGCACGTATTTTACCACTTTAAGTAAATTCCATTTTTATTCAGCGATCCCCAATTTAATTTCCAAAGGTGGCGGCGGGGGAGAGGGGGGGCGGAACATCGCATCTCTCTTTTTTGAATCAATTTAAATTGCAAAGAACAGCAACCGGAAAAGTAGTCGCTCCCGCAGGCTCCCCTGCTCTCCACCGGAGGGGGAGGCGGAGGAAGCCCCTCTTTACGTCAGGATGTTGGTGTAATTCTCCTCCAACACCCCTTTTTTTTACGTCTTTGGGATGATTTGGGAATTTAAGAGCCACAGAAACGCACAACCCCTGCAAGGCGGTGCGGGTCCCTCCGCGCTCGGATCCCTCAGTGCTCCGTCCCCGTTGTGTGCCCTGGACTCGGAGCTCCGCACCGGGCTCCCCCCGAGGGAAAAGGCAAAACCGAGCTGGGGAAAAAGAGACAAAAATCCCCCGCTTCGACCTGCGAGCCAGAGGGCGAGGGGAGTATTTCCTGCGCCCTCAATGGCTTTTAAACCGCGCTGCATCGCAGTTAAATGAATATCCCTAACAAGCGTAAAGACAAGTAGTTTTTCTCCTGCCATAAACATATTGCATCTCCTGTGTAATGATATGCAAACCAGGAGCGAACGAGACATTTCCATTGTAGCTGTCACTCAGCGAAGGGGGAAGCACATGTACATTTGAACTTCAGAGATACGGGCTGGAGTAAACAGATCTGAACTTCGGCGAGGGGAGGGGGTGAGGAATATCAAAGGCCAGGCGGAGGCAAGCTCAAAGACCAGAGTGGCGAGGAAATGTGGGTGCCAACAGGCTCCGTCCAGCTGGGGGTTTGTGGCGTGTTTGGTGGCGATGGGGAGAAGTTTTCCCCCCTCTCCCCAAGAAAATAACCCTTTAGCTGCTTGGGAAACACGCGTCAGGCTCGGAAGCGAGTGGGAAAACCATGAGGACGAGTTGAAGGTGCTGGAGAATAGATGAAGCCGAAGCAAAGCCCGGGGCGAGGGGCACAGCCCTGGGATGCCCAGGCACCAAGGTGACCCCGGGGGTGGACACCCTATAGAAAAAGGGTAAAACCCCCGTTAGTACAAGCAGGGTGCAGAGCGGGAGCAGGCGGAGGAGGAAGCCGGGCCCTCGGCACCCCGGCCCGGCCGAGAGCATCCTCACGCCCTTGGATTCCCCCCGCGCCTCCGCGGGGCAGAAGGGGTGGGGGAAGTGGCGAATATCTCAATCAGCGAGGAGCTGACCTGTGACCCGGAGGGTGGCTCTATTGTCCCGCTCTTGCGGGGGACACAGACTTTAGTCAGCCTTTCTGCGTGACTGAGCCCTGAGGGGCAACCGCAAGCCCCGGGCTCCGGGGGAGGCATCCCGGCCTCGGGAGCCGCCAGCCCGGCAGCAGCGGCCGAGGCAGAACCGCGCTTTCCCCGGCGTGTCGGGGCCGTTTCCGAGCCCAGACCCAGGCACTCGGCCTCCTCTTACCCCGCGGGGGTTGGCTTGAAACCAGCACGCCCGTTCTTTACCCCGAGGAGTCGATGGGGGCAGAGGCAGGGGAAGGCGGGAGGCGTTGTCCATGAGTCCCCCCCACAAACCTGCCGGCTCCGCAGCAGGGCCGACAGCGGGGATTGCGGGAGCGGCCTCCCGCAGTGCCCGCCAGGAAGAGCCGGGCAAGAGGCGGCGCTGCGGAGCGGCCCCGACGGCTGCGGGGCCCCGACGGCCTCCGGCCACAACCCCGCACCCTGACCCTGGCGCACCGCGGAGAAGGTGGGGCTCCGTCCTCAAATCAACCCCGGTTCAGCCTCCCCCGGACCCGGGGGGACCTCGTTGCTTGCAGTCTCACCCTCCTCTCCCCGCCGAACCGCCCCGGGGTCTCACAGCAGGTGTAAGCCCCGGTAACAGCCCCGTTCCTCGGTTGCTCATCACCCCGTTTGAACCGATACCACCCGGGGTCGGAGGCAGCGGTCTCTAGTTGCCGAGGGCCAGCCACGGGGAGCTACCGGGCTCCAAGGGGGGGCGGCCTCAAGCCTATACTGGGGACACCCCCAGCATGCAGCAGGTCGTGGGGCAGTTGCAGGGACACTCGCGCTGGCGACACTGCAGCCCCGGGGTGCGCTTCCAGCTCGATTCCAGCTTTCCTTCCCCAGCACTGGGCACAGCCCGGAGCTGAAGGGTCGGCAAATGGAGACCCCGC